GGTCGATTGAACCTGGTTGCGGGTTCAGAAACATGTGTTGCCTGTCTCTATCAATCACAGGGGTGTGTCGTTTTTTAGGGGGCCCCCCAAAAAAAGTGGCTGTCCTTCTGGTTTCCCTATGAAACCAGCCGAAAAAGATCGTCAAGGCTATAGCAACTCAGAAACTAAGCCCGGGAAATGGCGAAATGGCTTGTCTCCCTCAGCAACTGCTGAAGGACATACCCGGTGGTTCTAGCACCAAAACACTTTACTCCTTGAATCACCCCCTTCATAGAAAACCAGAAGCTGGGCCAAGATTCATGAGGCGTCTCCTTACCCGACCAAAAGAATGCCTTCTACCGCTTCTACTTGGCCTTCCCAAATGGTGCTAAATTGGTGGTTTGGATTGCTGGTTTGGAGCTTGGGGTTCCCATTTTTACAAAAGTGACATGAACTCCCCGAAGAGATCAAATCCACCAGCTCAGGCTTCCCTTGCAAATCAACCACAGCTTGCTCCACTTCCGTTCCCAACGCTGGCACTTGGGTGCCGGCCACATAGATGCCGTTGTGCCTTCCACTAAGCCACATCTCTGAAACACTTGCCGGTCTTCTTGTTGAAGGATGCAACCCGTTTGGGGTGGCTGACAGCGGAAAACCATTGGACACCCTGCTCCTCATGTGGAGCCTCCCACTTTAAAACTTTGAGAAACACACAAATGTCGGGATGTCACAGAGCAATTGTGTTGAGCCAACTGCCGGCTGTGGGGTATCGATCGCACGTATAAATGTTTCGTCAAAGCAGTTGGACATGGACTAACGACTAACCTCGCCCGATGTTTACAAGTACCTTGCAGCAATGTCTCCAATGGATACCACAAGAGCTCTCACATGGCTTCAGCTCATGGAGGAGGGGCATGGACAAATGCCTAGAAACTTTGGGCTCCAAGTCCCTTGACGCTCAGAAATGGGCTTCTGTGTCCGGCCAGATTCCCCAAAACTAGGGTCAACAGACATTCCCCTTCCAACATCCTCGCGGGACCCTATCCAAACATCACAATTCGGACATGATGAAAAGGTGACGTTAAAAACCACCCAAGAAGGGAACTACAGGTGTGTCCGTCACAAAATAGGGAACCCCTTCTAGATGGTGCGAAAAAGGAAACAAAAAGGAAACCAGCTTCTCGGGGGGCTGTCATTGCAAAGGCCAAGCTCTCTCGAGTTCAAGCGAGGCAGGGCTGACCAAGTGCCGGGATGGATGTAGACGCCCTTCCCAGCCGGCACGTGGAATGCACGCATGTCCTGCACGCTTCGCAAGCCGCGCGTGGCTTGGCCCGTGGAAGCAGTACGCTGAATCCATTCTTGATGCTTTCTTGAGGTGGACAAACTAATTCAGCATTGTCCATCATCTTGTGGTTGTCTGTTGTTCCTGTTTATTCTACCATTGAAGGTCATTTAGCACCACTGGTCAAGGTATCCCTTCCTGCTATCGTCCTTTGGGCAGAGCATGCAGTCAGGATCAAGGGAATTATAGTGCCCTTGGGACGTGCTTCAATAATTCTTGTTTACCTTACCCAAAGACGCCGTGGCCAGCTTTGAGCCGCAGAGCCGATACTACCGGCAACTTACTTTACGGATCCCACAAAAAACACCTACACAGCATGCTTGCTTGCGACATCCGGGTTCCCCTTCAAGACCTTCTTTACTGGCGAAAAGGGCCGTTTCCCCAGCCTCTGATTGATTGCATTTGCCACAATCTGGATCAACGTGACGTGCAGGAGTCCAGCCGCTGTGCGATTCACAAAACGCCGTCCCACAGGTTTCAGTTGGGCCCAACAAACCCGGGGTATCTAACAAGTCTTGGTAACCAACAGCCTCCCGTTGGGCAGCATTTCCTTCAAAAGGATGACACACTGTAAACGATAGAACGAACCAGCTACAAACTGCTCCATCGACTGGTTCTTGCAGGGTTTGTCTCTCATACATTAGCCAGAAGAAACTGCTGGTGCTTAACAGGGAATGAAGGAATGACCCCCATAAACCATCCCCTATCGTTTCCTTTAAGGGAATCCCCAGGTTCATTCCCACAATCCCTACCTATCGCACCAGCAAATTTGTCCATCAGTTCAAAGCCCGAACGCCGTCCTCCGGTTTAATGTCGTCCCCCTTGGCCGCGGGCCCCAGGCACACTGTGAAGGGTATGGGCTGTCTGGGCCAGAAGAGCTGCCCACCTCGGTGGCAGTCGCCTGGGTTGATCTCCAAATTTTCATCATCCTGCTGGTGCGATGGTAGGGAATCTGGCAATGAACCTGGGGATTCCCTCAAAGGAAGCCATAGGGGATGGCTTTTATAAGGGGTCATTCCGATTCTCATTTCCTGCTGAGCACCAGCAAGTCATGTTTACCCCTGATTCATAAACTTCCCCCTCAAAGTCAACAACATCCAAACAACGCAAGCACCCTGCCAATAGGACAGGTCCTCTTCTTGCCAATAGGACAGCAGTCGGAAAGCGTTCTATTATGAGGCAGGGACTGGCTTTGAACGGGGAGTACACTTTCTGGGCTTGTCAAAGCTTGATTGCTTGGATAAAATGTACAATGCTAAATTTGCAGTTTCTGGCTAGCTGTTGCTTTGCGATTTTGGTCAAAGCAACCCTTCAGACCATGAAGGGAATTAGTAGCTTTCGCAATTAAAACATGTGATTTGGTCAGGGCAAACGGCCGCATTCAACCAGGAGGTTCTGGTGGGTGCCGCAATGAACCAGCCAATTTAGGCAGTCTTGGCTGGCAGTCGCTGACTGGAACGGAAAATTTTACGAAATCAGGTGTCAACCTTCAAATGGGTGGCCAACGGGGCCTCTGGAAGCCAGCCTGCACCCAATCCCGACTCCTGACTCTGTGAATTATGATCATTCACCCAACCTAAAACAAAAACAACCAAGAAAGGAGCCTTCATGGGGTCGTAGGGTTGATGAAAATCGCACATCTCTGGAAGCTTGGCATTTCAGCAGATGAAATAGATGTGCTGCATATCAAGAACTTCTTCTGCCAGGTTTGCCAGGCTGGTGGACGAAATTACATTCAGGACTCTCTGGGAGTCTGCTTGAACTTATGCCATGCTCGCGCGCCTGTGGGGAATCCCATCGCGTTGCTACCGGTTTTCTCAGCTTGCGGCCATCAGGGTGGTAGTCGCTCATCCACAGGTAGATGGATCCTTGCAGCGAGTTGGCTGGCTCGTGGTTGAAAAAAGGATACGCACTAAACTGGGGGGCAATCATTCCTTTGAGTGATTTGGTGGTTGTGCAGGTGTCCGGAATATGTTTCCTTTTAGGCGCGGATCTTAAAGCAAGTTCTTTTGTGTTTTGATGTTCAAAGAGGAAAATGTGGGGAAAAGACAAAGTGCACAAACCTTGATGAGCAGGGGAAATCCTGATCCTACCCACTGCGCAACCAATTCCGCCCACCAATGCAGGCTTGTAGCTGGTAGCCAACAGCCAATTCACTTCTTCCGTGTCACACCAAATGAGCATGGACCTCAGTGAGCGTTGAGGCTTTGCAGGTGAAAATGCCCTGTTGGAACATGCTAAGCCCTGTGACTTGACAGAATCCCGGCGGCGGTTGTGGTGAAGTACAACCCTGAAGCAAAGGCGCAAATCAATGTGGATGAATCCGCACCGTTCTCACGCCGCAGAGTAAACCTCATGAAACTGGCTCCGCGCGGTGGGCCCGCAAATGCCAAGGCAGAAATCAACAACTCATGAAGAGTCCGGTGTCGGTCTAAACGGCCAGGACTCTGATGTACCAATTCTTGGCTGGCAACACTTGGCGCTTCGATACTCAGCGCGGCACCTGCGTCTGCTTCTTTCTCCAGTGCAGCCTCTTCTGGCCTGAGCGTTTTTGAACAGAAAATGAAACATGTCAGCGTCTTGTTGTTGAGGCTACTCTACTTTTTGTCGCTTGAAAGGAACAGCAACAAGATAACACCCATTCTTGGGGGTCCCCTTAATGCACCTGCTGGGGTCGGGTTCTGTACAAGGGCTGGTTTGGAGTGTTTCTCAGTGAAAACTCAACCTGCCAGGTACCAGTCTCAAACAAAACGCCGCAATGCGGGTTTGTCTCCAAATGGCTGGGGTCAAAAATGGGTACCCAAAATGGGCTCGCTTGGAACAAGTCAGGCAGGACCTGTAGACGATTAAGCCACGGAAATGTGCGGCGAAAACGAAAAACCATCTGAAGTTGTTCTTCGACAATCTCACATCAACGCGTTTGTGTTTCCGTTTCCATGCCGCTCCCTTGCAGTGGGACAAAAAGAAAGGAGCCCTTTGTTGGTTGATGCTGAACGGACACCCACTCCCCCAAAATTGACTTGAAGATGAGCCCAGCGCCAAAAGGATGGCCCGAAAGCATGCTTCTTTCCCAAAGGGGAAACCCGGCAACACGAAAACAGAAACCACCAAAACCGCCACTGGACAGGCGATTTTCAATCGGCTTCAAGGCCCCTGGGGCCCCTGGGGCCCCCGACACCTTTCCCAGGCCGTCCAGGTATTGGTTGTTCTCGCTAGCAATGGCCAGGTTGTGCCCGTAGAAGAAGTCCCCCTGTGTTGGAAGCCGCCTTCGGCTTCCCACAGGCATCAACTCAAAAGGAAATGCACTGAGCTTGGTCCGAGTTTGTGATGAAAATGGTTTCAACGGGATCCCTGCATCTGCATCCCAAAAATATCAGGTCAGGTGCTCTCTGTCCGCAACTCATCAACTTGTCCCGAACTTAGGGGCCTCAGAAGGTTTGAGATTCATTTTTGTTCCCCTTCAACACCAGCCAAAAGGGGGCCTCCTAAAAACAACACCCACATGCTCACATCCCCGACAAAGCTGTTCAGTGCGCGCGCCCACCTGCCACTGCACCTCGAAATCTCCCTCTGTGGTGCCTGCCTCACGACACATGGGGCCATGTGACCCGCGTGTCAGTCTAGGCAAGGACTTGCACCTATGCAGTACCTAGACCAGGATGGAGCTGTGAGAAATCCAATAGCCAACTTTGAGGAGATACACCACAGCATGGCAATCACGACACTCCTCCACGCAGCGAGCACATCTGAGAAAGCACAGAGACAAACAAACACACAAACAAACAACCACACATCATGCATGTGTGCGGCCGGAGGAGCGCCTTTCCGGCGTTCACGGCTTTAACGTCAAAGACACATTTTTTCCTCAACTCGCGAACATGGCTTTTTGTGGGACCCAAACCACCCAGTCTAACCCAAGTCCGAGTAAGCCATTACACCTTGTAGGAATTGCAGCGCAGCATGCTCAGTATCACCTCCAGAGGTTGGAATTGCAACCTTCTTACGAACCAAGGGCGTACCGGGGGGCCGAGTGAGAAACCCGTCGCGGCACGGCTCGCGGGGGCAGAGCATGCCCTATGTCCCCACCTCGTCGCCAGTGCCCGGGTCCAACGGCCGCCAGCCCGGCTGAGGCCAGCGGACGATCTCGAAGGTCTTCCCCTTCACAGTGAAGTCCTCGAGCACCGAACTCGGGGCCAAAGGGCCGAATCCTTTCTCTCACTGGAAGTCTCAAATAGAGGCAACCATTGAACCATGCTACGTAATTCAAGTCCAAACCAGACATGCACAAGTCCCACAACACATCTTCAGGCGCAAAGGACGAAACGTCTCCTTGACCGATGCCTTTGATGGGATGGGCGAACTTGGAAGCGCTCTCTTGCAGAATGCAAGGCAAATGCAGGCAGGGAGCAAGGAGGGGCGGTTGCATCAAAGGATATGGGATTGTCTCCAAAGGGAGCCCCTTGAAGAAAAGGAGCGAGGGGAAGGGATCTCTTTGACCCACAGCCAATTGAAATCTAATTTGCGCCCAGGTTTTTACTTGCAGAGCTTCAGGTTCCGCTGCGTGTGTCACATGTTGGCAACAGCCCGTGTCCAACACGATGGCTGTCGAACACGATGTGCCTCAGACGTTGGAAGCCAACCCAGCAACCAAGCTCTACCTTGCGATATGCGATAAACATATCTGGCTGGCGGGTTGCACCTCACGTTCTGCCTCCATGTTACTAGCAAAGTCGGCCAAGTAGTATAGGTACATGCAAACAACCCCACTTTCTGACTTTGTAGAAACCCTCTCTCTCTCTCTATATATATATATACATATACTAAGCAAAAATCAGTACACATTATTAGCCCGTGTTGCACTGAAGCTTCAGCTGCTTATTTTGTTGCAGGCACGAAGCGACCATGCTTTCCTCCCCCGAATGTCTCCTTCGACTTGCCTTGAAACCAAGCATCGCTTACAGCTGTTGCTCGAATGCCTTCAGGATCAAACAGCCCAGTGCCTGTTCAAGGTCACCCCGGAAAGGCCGAGAGGCATGTTTTGGCCAGTTGCTACAGAAGCGATACGATGAGAGTGGTCATCAGCCTTCTGCTGATGGGAACTTGTGACCACGCCGTGTTGTTTTACCAGGAATCTTGAACTGCTCCGCGAGATAGATCACTGCAATCCAACTTATTCAATGGCCATGTGTGAAACGAGCCTCTGTGATGCCAATGTTTAGTGGGAAACATATAAAAAAGGGAGCCATGAGTTGTGCCGAACAACCAGGAATTCTGACAATCTGTGCTGCCATCTGCCCTCCCCAGGCTCTCCTCAGGTGAGTGCACCAACCTGGCAGGGGGCAAGAACTCCACTTGCTCAACCTCTTCTCCTCGATAATAGTTGGTTAAGCGACAGGCCCTTTTGGATTTCGCCCCGACCCCCCTTCAGGGCGCTGAATCTTGCGATGGCAGGGGACCTATCTTTTTGACAACCTGTCATATGATTGACTCCGATGGATTAACTTCAGCACAGCCCCTTGGGGCTGCTTTCAAAGAACAGTGCACACACAGTTTTACCAATGCACCCCCTTCCATTGAGTAAGCACCCTGACTTCTCCCGTCCCTCATTGCATGCGAGCAGAATGCAACTTCTTTGGGATGGTTCCGAGAGATCGCGCAAAGTGCTTGGAATCAGACTTGAGAAGGCCAAATAGTGAACCCTGCAACACGTGAACACGAAATCTTAAGTGAGTAAAATGGGCACCTGCCAGGCATTGCCTCGAGTGATGATGCGTTCAAACAGAACTCAACACATGCGCAACTCAACCCACTGTAGTCACAATGTATTCATCAACACACATTAAGGAGGGGCTTGCGATGGAAGCAAAAGGACTCCAAAATTTAGGACCCTCAGACATGCACAGTCTGCTTGCGACGAGGACGCTATGGTTGGGACTGCCAAGCCCCCCAACCCCAGGAGAGTGTCCAAAGCCCAAAGCCCCTTGGACCGGTTTGGTGTCATTTCGTGCCACCGGAAAAAGATGCCCGGAGGGTGTCCAAAATGCGACAACCACATGACGGATCCATGGTCAGCACTCCTTGATTGTCGAAAGCTTGGTATCCTTAGGAATCCTTGTGCAGCTTGTCTAAATTCCGTACATGTTTGATGGTGATCCCAGGAAGCACCACATAGAACGGTATTCGACAATGCGACTTTGTGCTTAAACAATTAGCCGTTGGCCCCAAGATTTGAAACGAGGTTGTGTAAACTATGGTTGTTTGAACATGCTTAACAACTAGGTCCTCCAGTAGAGAGGTTGGACTAAGGGTACCCTTTTTTCTGTAGTCTATTTTAGTAGGGGAACCCTCCCCCAAAAAAGAAACGGTAAAAGGGGCACCTGGCTGGGGGATCTAGACAAGGAGTTGACCGAGCTATGAAGCTCCGAACAACTTCCCCCCCAAGCCCCCCCTGCCCCGCCCATCCCTCTGAGGCCTTCCGAGCCCGGCTAAGGACGCATCGCTGGCCACCTCCGGCACCAGGTCGCGGACCTGCAGGCCTGGTGGCTCGCTCGTTCCATGCACGAGATTGGCCAAAAAACGGCAACCGAAAAACCACCCCTGAGGTTGAAGTTCCCAAAAAACACCTTTCCCAGCAGACCCGTTCGGACATGTATCGTTCTACATGCAGTGAACCTTTGCCTCGCTACAGTGCCTTGGAAAGCTGCAGCCAGCGCCCCCGCCCCCTGTTCTCCCAAATCGATTAGATGCGATACTCATCGTGGGTTTCAAGCCTGTGTTGAATATAGGGTACTTGCGTTGCTTAAGCACAACCGACCAGGCAAGTTCACTCCTGCATTAGACAGGAAAGTACCATGCAGAGTCACTCCTACATGGCTGCGCAGGCTGACGCCTGCACAACCTCCCAATTACGCTGCATAAGGCCGGAAGGCCTTCGCAGGCAATCTCCCGCGCAGGCCCCGAGCGAAACATGCTCTTCAATGATCTCAACCAGCCACTTTGAATGATTGCCTGAACACCCAAGCTCGCCAGACCTAATTCAGAAATACATACACAACCATTTGCTCTGCTCAAGAACCCCGGCGCCTTTGTTGCCAACAACATGGAGCGGAAATACCTGGGAAAACAACAGCAACCTTCTCCAAGTACCAGTGGGACAAAACAATGCGCATGGTTTGCCTCCTTTGAGCCGCAGCCAACATTGTGTTCCTTCGTATGCCTCTCGAGTCAGTGTGCAATATCATCCCCTCTGCACGCAATTGTGAATATTGACCCTTGCACAATCAAAACCTGGTATTAACATGGTTCACCCAAATCCATGTAAGGACATTAAAAGGCGGCCGCACCTATTTCTGGCTCAGTCTTTCCAACCTTCATCTACGGGGTGTTGATTGTGGTTCATGGTGCCTCGTGTGATTCATGGTGATGGATCCTCATAGTCGTCTAGAACCCCAAATGAAAGGATTCATGGCCTTCCTCCAGATGAAGAACTTCCTGCTTGAATCCGTCCCATCTTGCCGGGAGTTCTTCACTTTGGGTGGCGGTTTTCAACCCCTTTGTCCCCAACATGGGGTCGCAAGCCTGGAATCTGCCTCGCTTCCTTCAGAAATCTCGGAATCCCCAAACAACCCCAAGGGTACTTTGAGAGAATATAGGGGCTGGTCAGCACGTCGAGGACATGAACCCACGTAATCATAATGATTGGCCATTCGGAAACAAGACATGCAAGCCCAAAGGAAGCTTCGTGCGAAAATGGTTAAGAAACTAAAGCCGCGGTCATTTGCCATGGGTGCTTCTCAAAATAGGGGTCCCCTCAACTAAAACTTTGGGGTCCTCTTCAAACATGTTTGTTGTCCAACTCAGGTTTCCAAAACCTCAACATGGTTGGTGTCCAATTCTAGTTTCCCAACCTCTGTGTCATTTGCCAACTTTCTCAAAACACTCCCCATGAAAAATGGGTCTTGTCCAACTCTGCTTTTCTTTTTTTCAGGTACCAAACCAAAAAATACGAGGCTTCGAACCCTCTGACCCCCGTGTGAACGCTTTTGCACGGCCTTTGGGCAGGTCAGGACGCCGGAAGTTCTCGGGAGAGAACACGAAGCCGGGCTGGGCGGGGCTCTCGGCTTCGAATTCGACTCCAAACGAGTCCAGGGCCTTTTGCTCGCTCATAAAACCACCGGTTCAAAACCACCGGTTTCACGACCAAAGGGTGGACATTCCAACAAACTTGAAGCAAACCTCGGCTGACTGACTCCTCCCTACCTCTCTGGATCCAACTCAACACAGTCTAACCAGGAAAGGAACCCACACGGTTGGAACCCCCCTGAGGTTGCTGTGATCTACCCAAAATTCGTGGCATGAGTCAAGGATGCTAAACCTTGTGTGAGCAACTGTTCACTGTACAGGCTTCAAATGAGAAGCAGCATGGGGAAGTCTCAAACTTCAACCAGCCTCGATGTTTTTTGTTTGGAGCTAGGAAGGGTTGCGGATGGTCAGGAGCGATTGAATCACAGCCTGTGTCGATGAACGTCCACCCATCAAAAACACCTCCCCTAATGACTAATGGGTTTCACGGAGGGGCATATCATATGTACAATAATATAGTGTATGCATATATATATATATATTATGCAATTCGGCAGACCAGGCCAGACGCAAGACTTTGGTGCTACTGATTGTGGATTCAAACTAAGCTTGTGTATGCCCATCATATGGTTACGCTATTGATTCAGCCATGTTCATTGAAGAGATCATCGTTTCCTCAATGACAATTGGTTCTGTTCTAAAGACAGCTACGTGAAAACGTGATGCCTTCACAAGGCTCTTCCTAAATCCAAACCGGGCAGAGCGGTTGCCGTATGGGTAGCAAAAAGGGGGGTGTTTAACAGTTCAATTCCGACCGCCCAGAAAGCCCTTTTTCTCAGTCCGAACTGCAAGATTACTGGATTGCTGACAACTTGTTGACTTTCATAGCGCTCCAATTTCGCATCACCCTGTCCTTTCCCGGCGACCCAATGTGTTTGTTCCATCGGGGCGGCGCGACGTAAATCGAACTCTTGACGAGCAAAGTCCAACAAGGACGTCAGTCCTGTTCCATAGCCATTCGACGTTCTTTGGTATTTTCCTGAAGTGGGGATGGACACGATGCCTGGGCCCTTTGCTGGGTCACCCAGGCTGACAAGACAAAATCGAATGAGCGCGCCGGGCCTTAGGCGCGGCTGAAGCCTTAGTGCACAAAAGGGACTTTCCTACCAGCAGCAACAGATCCAAGAGGAATAAAGCAAACTACGGAAAATGTCGTGAGCTACACAACAGAACAAGCAACAACGCAACAACAACAACAACAACAACAACAACAACAACAACAACAACAACAACAACAACAACAACAACAACAACAACAACAACAACAACAACAACAACAACAACAACAACAACAACAACAACAACAACAACAACAACAACAACAACAACAACAACAACAATGCCCAGCTGGTCAACAAATGTGAGCAAATCAGTGTCTACCCGAACCACAATAACTCACCAAGTGGCAAAAATAAAAGTGCCCCATGACAAAACACAACGAACCATATTCATCATTGCTTGTGCTGCATTCGGGTAAGCGTGCATCCATGATCTCAATTGAGTCCATCACCTTGGATTGCCTGCGCTTTGCCCACTTAAGGTCACCACTGTTGTCACACAGCGGGTGAAGGACACCCCATGGCGCAAGTGCTTCATCAAAGCCATGAGAAGCACTTGCTCAGGAGGGTACTAGTAACACAAACGCAACCAAAGCACGTGCACATACGCACACACACACACATAATACACACGAAAAACTGATGGGTCCCGCTTGTTGAGTGCAAATGCTCTGCAAACGCGCATGCGCAATTCTCAGAGGACAAGCGACCTGGCCATGAGCCAATGGGCTGCAACTGCGACGTGACACGGCTGTGTTCCCAAAGCTTCCCTTCGATCCATCGATAGGGATTCTCCAGCTCGCGAATTGTCCCAGTCAAGCCTTTTCAGGGGACATTACCTGCTAGGCGCGGGAACAAGCGTGGGGAAACACGCCAGGCAGGCGGACTTTGTCGCAAAGCTTGAGCTCTTCATACCCGAAGCTCACATTCAAGCAACCTCAAAGGTAATACTTTAAACAAAAAACAAACGCCAAAACAGGACATACACATCTAAAGGGAACCCTGCGCCGCAGAATCGGTTTCTCCACATCTCCACACCGCGCGAGGCTCTTTGGCGCGGAGGGCAATCGATGGCACGGAAGGCACCTGGGCAACCAGGGACCAACACTCACTTGAGCCGCACAATTTTCGGAGCTCCAGAAACCAAGGAGCGAAGATGAACCACAGATGTACAGGGGCCCTCTGGTTGGGGGAGGTGTTTGTCTTCCGCCGTTTCTTATTTTCTCTTGCGTGGAGCGCTTTTGTTTAAATATGGGTGACACATTGGTGCTAACGAGCAGAGAGCGAGCACTAAGCACCGTGAGAAACACAAACCGACGCAACACACGTATCGTTCCCGCATTTTCCCACCTGAGCACGCCTTCCCCCCGAAAAGTCTTGGCTGAAAACGCAAGCACGTTACAAATGAGCTAGTTTTAGACTCAGATAGTCCTTTCCGACTTGGACATGCACCTCCATGGCGCTGGACAGGAAGGAAGACTATACTGATTCACATAGTCACTCCTCATGGCCCTCAAAGGAGTTTCTGGCAGAAACGCCAGATTTTGGAGGTTGTGCTTGGTGCCGGGGGGGAAGCAAAGCCTTTGCACCACTTCAAAAGGGCCAAACACACACACCTCCATGGGTTGACCACTAAAGCCAAACCCATTTTTCTTCTGTAGGGAAGCCCTTTGGTTTGACCTTTCACCTTTTCATCTGAGAACAGCTCCAGCGCATGAACAACTTCCAGTCGTCAGGAAAGCTGGATCCGGTAAGCCCCAAGCACAGAGACGCTTCCTTGCCTAAACGTCTGGCTTACTGCGATAATAGGCTTATAAAACGCGAAAGTTGCCCCAGCAGAGAAAAAATATCCCTGGTTGACAAACGGGGACGCCTTTTACTGTAAAAGGGAATCCGGATCACTGTGGGTTTTCGTACCCCCATCAATCTCCAAGGTGTAAAAATCCGAACATGACCTCCGCAGTAGAAACTGGATGAGC